GTAGATGTATCTGTTTTGGATCATAAGATATGAAACTTAGAACACTACAATGCTTGGGAAATTTTACAAGGAAATTTTTTCACATAGCTGGTGTTGGGTTGGTTCAGAAATGTTGTTGATATTACCAAATCTTTTGAGAGGTACCCGTAAAGTGAAGTACAAGTTAACAAGTGCAAGTAAGGCACTGGTGCAGGCGTCTACTGTAGGGAATTAGAAATATACAACTCATATAACCTTAACAATCATTGTAGAGTTTTTCAAGCAGAAATCCTTGCAATCACGAAAGCGACAGAGATAGTCAAAACACTTACTGCCGATAATACGGACGGGACCGGTGACTATATATGTCGATAGTCAGGCGGCCCTAAAGGTTTGGAGTCGTGAACTACAAATTCAAAAGCAGTTCTTGATTGCAAGTCCGCTCTGCATTATATACGACGGATAGTAAATTTATGTTGTGTCACAGGACTTAACAACATAGAAGGGAACGAGATAGCCGTCAAGCTCGAGCTCGTTGGGGTTCACAGTCGTCCAATCATTGGCAACATCCGAAGTAGTCGATAACATATGGTCGAGAGAACCTGGTTTTAGAATCTCAAAAGCTATCTGACCTGAATTCTCTCATCGAAGAAGGGAGAGAGAGATTAAAATCATTGTGGGGATCATAACAGGTCACTGCATGATTAGATCACTCACTTCGAAATTGGACTCCAGCGGAGAGGATTACTGTCGTCTATGTGAGGACGAAGTGGAGCTAGAAACAATTTAACATATGCTCTGTAGACGAGCTGCGGCTGTCAGTGTATATAAATAAATTTTTTTGGTCCTTTGAAAAACTGAGTTTTTCTCCACCCGTGGTAAGAGACTCAGTGGAATAAGCAAAGAAATCATTTTAACCAATTGACTTAGGGAAAAAGTAATAACAATTTTGAGTGAGGAGCTCAAGAATTTTTAGAGATTTTCTGTTCTACGAAGTGAACAGTTTTTTTATTTAACACAATAAGATGGAGAAAGAATTAGATTTTTCCATAGAGTCTTTGGAAAAAAGATTTGATGAAAATGGGAGGAAGGAACAGTACAGGCGATTTACTCGAAAAGCCGAAGAGTTTAACGCCATGTGTACGCATTTGGAATCGCGAATATCCATCCGCAAAATGGCCCAATTTATGGAATGGTTGAATATACTTGAGGAGGAGTTGCAAGATCTTCAGCAATTGGCGCTCAAAATTGACGTCGAAAATATAAAATTGGAATATAACCTAAAATAAAAAACTGAGAGCGTTTAAATTTAATGTGCATTTCTTTGACGACATTGAAGATGAACAAAATCAGAGAATTAGTTTGGAATATATATTCTTTGAAGCCGGTTATGTAATTGACCGATGTGACGTCGTGAAAAATGAATTATGTACCTAGAATGTCAAAAAAGAAAGCCTTAATCCAAATGAAATATTTGAAGACATATATGAAGATCAAAATTTTTATTCCAGTAGTTTCAGATGTGCAGTTTTCTGAAGATATATTCTTCATATTGAATCGTATGGCGGACAAGCCCTCACTTTGGAATGAATATACATACATTCAGAAAGTGAAGAGCGAGACAGTCTAATGACGCTGGTGGATAAAGTTTCAGTGGTAGAAAGATCACTGGAGAATGGTTAGAAAATCCATAGGTTAGAACCAGAAGTCTATGAAAAAAATTAGATCTCGTAATGAAGAAGAAAATGGTGATGTCGCCACGGATGTGGAAAACAAGCTAGAAGAAAATGGCGATGTGTGGAAGCCATGGAAAAAATGATATTTGGGGTTCTCCAATACCTAAGGGCAATTCACATTGTAGTATATTTAATAACCTCTTCAGATCTAGGAATATAGTTAAGCTCTCTCATGCTGGAGGGATTTTAAATTCAATTTTATTTCATAAGAAAAGATATGCAAAAACGCAAAAAAAAACAGCAGAAAAAACCTCAAAGAAGTCGAAGGTGCAATTTTGTATAATGATGAAAGCAGTAGACGAAGGTGGAGAAAATTCTGCATCGGAAACTTTTTCCTTGATTTTACTATGTCCTGGAATTCAACAATGACTAACGAAATAACGTATATTAGGCAGAGTTATTTTGTAGTCATTGTTCGATGGTAAATTTGTAGGCTGGGAGGACTATATTGCTGGATAGCCTCGTATCATAAGTTGCAAATTACAATTTTTTTGTAAGATGTAACATAAGTACATGAGTTACTTGAATATAATTCTTCTCGATAGTTGTTTCATCGACTATCAGGAACGACGCGAAATTTCCTGAGGCATTTTCGGGAGTTTCGTCGTGGGTCGAAAAGCAATTTATAATAAACCTTAATTTCGATTCTAGTAAATGAAATATCTAACAGTATATATTGTAATGCATATTGTAATCATACCGATTTTGTACCGGGGTGCATCTGGAGCTTATCATCGTCAACCTTTTTTTTTTCTTTAATTTCAACTGATTCCTAGGGATGCCAACTTCAATTCAAAATATTCGACATGCTACAACGTGAACAACGTGATATTTCGTTGTTCAAGTATCTTCTACACAAACGTTTAGTCGACAACAGTTCACTGCAACTTGGCAATCCATTTGAAAGGTATAATTTCAGTGTTTCGTCTTCGTTCTCTCCTGTCCTTCCCTTCTATGTACGTTTATCAAAACAGTGATGTCAATGCAATATATGAAAATCTGTATTTGCAAAGTTTCACCAGTTAAAAATGTATAAATTTTTACTACGATAATAAATTTTCTTTTATAATAGTAAAGATGAGTAAATTCGTGCAGTTCTGAAATAGATAGAGTTGTTTCGTTTTATAATTTATTTTTTATTCATTGATTTTTGAACTATTATAGTCATGTTTTTTTACCGGGTTAACCTACTCAATGAAGATTTATTTGACATATATACAATGGAATTGATAAGTAAAATCCACTGGGTTAACGGAATCCGATACAATGTAAACGCCGTATTAATCTAATATTAGATTTGTCCGTTAACATCGACAAAATATACATTTGCATTATGCTGAATTTAATAAACGGAGCGGGCTTTAAAGTACCCATTCCATTGCTTATAAAAAAAAGCGAAAAAAGCATTAATGCGATCATGACCAATGGCTACGCGCAGTGTAAACACAGCCTAACATTAACGACAAATACAACGTCAATTTCTAATAATTTGCAAACATACGAAATTGAAAAAAATCACCAAATTTGCAATATTGTTTCGCACTGTACATTTTGGCAATTCTTTCATTACATTTATTTTCTTATCTTGAATTTTATTTTCATATTGAATTTTTGCCTTCTTTTTTCCCTCTACATTTTCAGTTTGCGAAACGTCGTACAACAACAAAACCCCATCATCATCACACACCAAATTGAACGGGGGAGAATTCGTGTGAGTGTGAAAGAGAGAAAAAATCAATACTAACAGTGGTGCTCTAACAAAAGAGTGGCACAACAAGAAGAGTGTATAGCAGGCGGCAGAAATAATAACAACAACAAACACATCAAAATACAAAAAAAAAACTAAAAACGAATGAGGTGGTTGTTCAGCAGCGCAAACGAACTCAACACACAAGCAGAAGTAGAAGAAGCAGCAGCAGTGCTAGCTACACAACACAATCCCACAAGCAAACATACACACAAACACACATCTAAATATACTGTCATCATCATCAACGCCGCAACGCAACCAGAGCGACAACAACAAGAACAAGCATAATAATCAAGTACTACACCGACGGCAGTAGCAGGCAGCCGCAGCGACGTCTCAGCTGCAGCAATAACAAAAGCAACTACAACAGCAACAGTAATAATAATAAAAAGGCAAAAAAGAAACGGTAAAACGAAGAAGAAGCACCAGCAGCAGCAAGCAAGCACAGCAGATACAAGAAGACAAATATGAACTAAATTTTGATGGTATTAGTCGTGTATAAATCAGATGAGAGGATATAGGTGAAAGAAACTCACGCACACACACAGGGAAACCCTCAAACAAAAAAATCAATTGGTGTTTCATTTTTTGTGTTTTGTGTGGATTTAATGCAACAACTGAAACTGAACCGAACCGAACTGTGCTGAATCCGTCAAAGAAGAATAGCAGAGGAAGAAGAAGAATAAGCAGAAAACTCAACATCAAATAAAGTCAAACCGAACCGGACAGGACGGAAAAGAAACACTGAAAACACACAATTTAAATAAAAGTTAACGCCGCGTAAACACCACCACCAAAATTTAATAATGAATGGAGTCGCAAAAATACACAAAAATAGTTGAAGTGAGAAGACACGACGACGACGGCAACAACGCAACGACAACGAGAAGGAGAAACAAACATTAAGAAAGATACACCGATAAAAGAAGGACGGTGCGGCGCGGCATATACAAAAACAAGGGAATAAAATAAAAACCGACGACGAACCAGAGGTAAATCCGAAAGAATTGAACAAAAAATTGGAAGAAGCAACCGAGGAAATATAGGATAAACCAACCAAAGGAATTGAAGAAGAAAAAATGATGATTGGTTGGGGGTGAGAAAAACCAAACCGACGAACATACGAATATAAAGAAAAAACAAAAAATTTAAAATTGAATTGTTTTTGTGATTTCATATTTTCATTGGCGTTTGGTTCACATTTTGTGCTGAAAGTCATCATCCAAGTACAATACAAGAAGAAGACATTTCAACAAAACTCAGTCAACAAAATATAAAAAGTCAAGAGAAAATAAACTCAAAGTAAAAAAACCAACAAATACAGGGTGAGAGAGCGCCAATCGCCAACGAGCGAGCGACACAAGCAAGAGTGGCGAGCAGCAGCATAAACTGACCGCCGGAATCAACGTTGTTGAGCCAGCGGCTGTTTTCCCTGCCCTCTCCACCGGCACACACACCGGACCTGAAAGCAGCTCCAAAATCATTGACACATCACATCTATCTAACCACCTCACCATCATCTCTCGACAAGAAGCAAGCCGTAGCAGAAACAGCAACAGTATAACTAACAAAAATGTATGGCAAATCTAAAACCTCATCGGTGCCTTCAGATGCTCAGGCCCGTGAAAAATTAGCTCTGTATGTGTACGAATACCTGCTACATGTCGGAGCACAAAAGGCAGCACAAACGTTCCTCTCCGAAATTCGATGGGAAAAGAACATCACACTGGGCGAGCCACCGGGCTTTTTGCACACATGGTGGTGCGTATTTTGGGATCTGTACTGTGCCGCCCCCGAAAGACGTGACCAGTGCGATCACTCATCAGAGGCAAAAGCCTTCCACGATTATGGATTTGTCAGTTCGGGCTATGGTGTAAACGGAATTGGCCCTGGTGGTCCACACAGTGCTGGCGGTCCAGCACCCAGTCCTTTAGGCCAGATGCCTCCAGGAAGTGATGGTCCGATGGGACCGGGCGGCCCAATGGGTGCAAATTTCTTCCCCAGTTCAACGATGAGACCTTCACCGCCTACACATGCGTCAAGTCCACAGCCTCCACCATCACAGATGATGCCGGGACAACCGCCATTTATGGGCGGTCCACGATATCCAGGTGGTCCCAGACCAGGCGTGCGTATGCAAGGAATGGGTAATGAGTTCAACGGACCTCCTGGCCAACCTATGATGCCCAATAGTATGGATCCAACGCGGCCGGGTGGCATGGGTCCAATGAATCCTCGCATGAATCCACCCAGAGGACCCGGCGGTATGGGCGGTCCAATGGGTTATGGCGGACCTGGAGGTATGAGAGGTCCAGCGCCCGGTCCCGGAGGAATGCCACCGATGGGTATGGGAGCTGGCGGCCGACCACCTCAATGGCAGCCGAATGCGACAGCGCCCATGAACGCGTATTCATCATCGTCACCGGGTAATTATGGTCCCGGTCCAGGCTCAAATGGTCCTCCGGGACCGGGAACACCTATTATGCCATCACCACAAGATAACACACAAGCGGGCCCCGGCGGTCCTGGCGACAACATGTATTCACTAATGAAACCCGAATTTCCCATGGGCGGTGGACCTGATGGGGGAGGCGGTGGTCCCGGCGGCATGGGTCCTATGGGTGGTGGTCCAAATTCAATGGGTCCTGTACTTAATGGCGGAGCGGGCGACGGCACCGGTCTCGATGGTATGAAAAACTCACCGGCCAATGGAGGACCTGGAACGCCACGTGAAGATTCCGGCAGCGGTATGGGTGACTACAATCTCGGCGGCTTTGGTGGACCTGGTGAAAATGATCAAACAGAATCGGCGGCTATATTAAAAATCAAAGAGAGTATGCACGAAGAAGCCAAAAGATTTGAAAAAGATACAGAACCCAACGACTATTTCATGCAATAACCGCCCGAACAAACCAACCTCGTACAACAACCGCAACAGCCACAAACAACAACAGCAGCAGCAACAGATATTGATGAACAGAAGATGAATATTAGTAACAATGCCTCTTCCTCCTCCAGCTCCGCCATCAATAATTCCAATACCAGCAGCAACAACATCAACACAACAAATGGCAGCAACAAAATGACATCCAATAACAACAACATCAACAACAGAAGCCATCATCAGCAACAATATCATGCTGAAATGACAACGGCGGCGGCCACCACATCATTGGAATCACAAACGGCAGCAGCATTATCAGCCTCATCGGCTGCTCATAGCAGCTCCACTAGTACCACCGCCGACGAAGATGAGACAAGTGCATTATTAGCGGTAGCCATGATGAACAGTGTCAAGGAGGGTCTAGGCTCGGCTATGCTGCAACATTTGTGGTCCTCAATGGCTGCAGTTTCCAAGCAACCGTAAATGACGACGCCGAAGGCCTTGGTGAGAGGAGGAGAGTAGAGAAGGATAATGAGGAGCTGTTTGCTGAGTTAAGGAACGTGCGCTCCACGCTCGGCGGCATTGGCATCTTCTGCAATATGTAAAAGCTAAACAAAAATAGTATATCGAATTATGAATGCGTCTTGCCATGATGATGATGAATGAATGAAGGAACAAATGCAAATGCCTGCGTAAATGCCGCCACGGCCGCCGCTGCCTGCAATTTAATTGCCTGGCATCACCCTCCTCTTCGCGATAAAATAAAGATGCAGCCGCACAATCTTAAGTCGAGGAAGCCAAGACACAAGACGAGTGTGGAAGCCGAAAACAACAACAACAACAAATAAGTAAACCATTACTGAAGAATGCAACAGCAGCTACAACAACAACAATTTACTGGTAAATGGCATTAAGAGATAAATTAATTAAATATTTTTATTTTATTATTTTAAATTTAGTTTTTGTAAATTTAAATTAAAACAACAAATCAACAACAAAAAACAATTATTATTATAAATGATATACATAAAATACATAAATATAAACAAATTATGATGGTAAATTCCCTCAAAGAGAAAACAAATAAAAAAGAAAATTTAAATAAATTATTTGCAAAAAATCAGAAATGTAAAAAATTAGACTCCAATCCATTGCTCCCCAATAAAACATATTTTGGGTGCGAGTAATCAAGTAATCTGAATTAGACTGCATAATTTGTTGATTTCGAACAAATCCACATAATTTCTATGTTCACTGAAGGACCTGAAGGGAGTCTTTATAGACGACCTGAAGGGGGTCTTTACAGACGACCTAAAGGAAGTCTTTAAAGACTTGCTGAAGGGAGTCTTTATAGACGACCGGAAAGGAGACTTTATAGACGACCTGAAGGGAGTCTTTATGTACTAACTGAAGTGAGTCTGTCGAACTGAAGGGTATCTTTATAGACAAACTGAATGAGTCTATATAGACGAGCTGTAGGAAGTCTTTATAGACCAGCTGAATGGAGTTTTTATATACCAGCTGAAGGGAGTCTCTCGAACTGAAGGGAATCTTTTATTGTCTAGCTGCAAGGATACTGTATAGACGATCTGATGTGAGTCTCTATGCATGAGCTAGATCGTTATTATAGACTAACTGAAAGGCCTTACTATAAAGGCGCCCATTGGGTTTAGGGAAAGTTCCTAAAACAATTTTTTTTGGTGTATCATATGTCATTGGTAATATTAAATCTAAACCTCTACCGGTCTTCAAGCTCGACATGTATTCCCAATATTAATTTAATGTTGCATTTGCTGAATATTTTGTTAGAGGATTTCAAATTATGCAGTATAGATTTTGATTTCATTGAAGAATTATTTGATGAAGGCACCCAGAAGAACGTGTTGTTACCAAATCAAATTGCAACAGAACAAACTCCAAATGGATGGCTAAGTTTATAAAACTAAAACGAAAAACGTAAATGGACCATTTAGAGAAAACAAAAATAGTATAAACGAAGAAATCTACCTTGCCCCCCGCCCCCTATATATTTTCCTTAAGCTACTACCGACGATAGTAGTAAAAAATTCCCATAAATCTTGGAACACATCTCCCAACACACATAAAAGTATTAAAAAAATCATATTTTTTGTACAGTTTACAAATATTTATATATGAGGATCTAAAAAAAAAAAATAACAAAAACTCTCAACTAGAAATTGAATTGATCTAATTAAGAATATTGTATAATACAAATAAACAAACAATAAAAATGATATAACAAAAACTCTATTTTTAATTTCCTCCAAACTCTGTCCCTCTTTTTTTAACCGCCCAAAAGTCATACCTTTCCCCAGGGGTATCGAAATTTATTTGTATCCGTTTTTCATTTTCTTCTTTAGATTAATAAGCGAAAAAAATTCAAAACTATTGTATAAAATTTAATTTACAAAAAATTAGACAGATCCTGAAAACAAATCTTAAAATACTATATAGGTACTTATAAATTTATATATATATATTTAAATTAAATAAAAAAATAATACTTAAAAAATAAAAACTTTTTGGCTTTCATGAGATGTAATTCATTAAGGATTTGTAGTAAAAGTTTATTCAAAGCAGCTGAAAAAAAAAACATAATAAAAAATTTTGTAATATAAAAAAAAAACAAACAAATTCTTTGCATACATTTATATATATATTTTTAATGTTTTTATTTTTTATTATTTTTCTCTTATTGTCAATGACAGTTTTACAATTTTTTTATATATACACACACATATTCGATATTAAATATCTATGATTTATATTTAAACAAAGTTTAAATTTGGTTTTATTTTTTTCTAGTTTTTTCAATTGGCTTTTTTTATTTGGAAAAGGGATTTTGAATTGAAATGGTTTCCTCTAATTCAGTGTGGCATTTGCTGGAAGGGAGTCTTTATAGACGACCTGAAGGGAGTCCTTATAGACGAACTGAAGGGAGTCCTTATAGACGAACTGAAGGGAGTCTATAGACGACCTGAAGGAAGTCTCAAGACCAACTGAAGGGAGTCTTTATAGATGAACTGATGGGAGTCTGTATAGACGAACTGAAGGAAGTCTTTATAGACGAACTGAAGGGAGTCCCTATAGACGAATTGAAGGGAGTCTTTATAGACGATTTGAAGGGAGTTTTTATACACGATTTGAAGGAAGTTTCTATAAGTCTTTATATACGAACTGAAGAGAGCCTTTATAGGCGAGCTAAATGGAGTCTCTAAACTATTTGAAGGGAGTTTCTCTAGACGAACTGAAGGGAGTCATTGTCGTCCTGTGCTGAGGCTCAGGGGCAGAGTGTATTTTATTGAGTAGCCTTCATAGAAAATTGATTGACGAGCTGGATGCCAAGGTCTTCAGTAAGAACTTTAGTTCATGAAGCTTTTATAAACGGCAGGAAATTTTAAACGGAAATATAAATATGTTGTTGTTTGGCAAATTCTGAACATCTCAGCAGTAGTTATAATTGATACCTGCTTTCAAACATTCTTCTGATAACAACATTTGCGGACATTTTAATTATTGTTTTGAGAGATTTCAATAATTTTTGTTTTTAAAAAATTTATAAATTTTTGTAGGGCTATGTGCCCTGTCCGTGATATTTATTTATAAAATAGGTTAAGGCGGCTTCCATATTTAAATTAGAGTTTTTAAACTGTTGTGTGGGCCAGATTCTTATTTAGATTGTGCTCTTTGTGTTTGTTGTACCACATCCTTAGCTTGTACACTAATTTTTGTCATTTTGCTCTTGTATTATATTTGTTGTTCCTTTTGTTGTGTGGAATTCTTGTCTTGTTTCACAAAGAATCATTTTTTGTAACCATAGATCATATACATTTTAGGCATCCTTTCCAAAATTTAATAGATGGCCTTGTATTTTTCCTTATGTCCGGTTAGTTTTTTTATGTATATATTTGAACTATTGTAATAAACATTTTATGGTCTTCATTGTATACACAACCAACACTATGGCAAATATTTATATATTAAAAAAAATAATAATAATATTATTATGGAATTCTTGTACAAAAGTTTAAATATAGTTATATTAATTAATAGTAATACAAATTTATGAGAATAAAAATAAAAAAACATACAAATATAAAACACACCTACTATATATATATTAATTATTATATTTAGAAATAATAAAACAGTTTTACTTAATTTTTATTATTTACAATAATGATAACAACAATGTACACATATACATATATATATAAAACAATATATTTTAATATTAAATATTGAAAAAAAAGAAAAAATAAATAAATAAAAAAATTAAAAAAATATTACGTTTTAGAAATACATTTTTTTATTATTATTATTTATAAAATTTAACGTCCTGTTTTTTAGTTTGTAATATTAGCAAAGCAAAGCGTTTACATTTTTTTAATATTTATATTTTTATTAATTTATATACAAATGAATTTACACAGAAAACAAAAAAAAAGTTTTAAATCAAAAAAATATAATTTTTAAATATACATATTAAAAAACCAACAACAAACATAATGTGGGAAACCTAAACTAATTACTAAACAATAATTATAAAAATAATAATAATCTGTAATGGGAATTTTGCTAAAAAAAAGAAAAACAAATAAATTATTTATAAAGAAATAATAATAAGACAAAAGAAAAATATAACAAAAAAATTGTAAAATGTTTTTTCAAAAATTAAAAAAAAAAAATACACAAAAAACTTAGCATCCAAACCGAAAAAGAAAATCTTAATTAGTATATAAGAACTGAATAAAAAAATTAAAAAAGAGACAAAAAATTAATGATTGCAAAATGGAGATGTTTAAATAAGTATTTTAGTGTTAATTATAAACAAAAATCATACACAAAATAAATAAAAACAAATATACATAAAAATACCACACCAAGAAGTTGATCCCAGGCAGAATAACCACATCAGTAAAGCAAATCTGTAACAGAGACCCACATTACCAGAAAACAAAAACTAATAATTCAAACAAACAAAAATTAACATCCTCCATCATAATAATTATATATCGTAATAATTATTATTATGATCTATAACATCTCTACATTAAACACACATTATTACATACATTACAACATACATATATTCTCAAATAAACAGTAATAACAAAAAATCATAACAGATGATAATGAAGAAGAATATGTCGATGAATGCTAATGATAATGAATTCATCAAAAAAACGTAAATAAATAAAAATCTAAAAGAAATAAAAAAACAAAACGATCAACCAACCACAACAACATGATGATGATGAATAAAGTTTTAAAACAACAAATATTTGTAAAAAGTAAATGAAAAAAAGAATATTTAATATTGTTTTATTTAATACGGGAGATATAATAGTGATTTTAAGGGATTTTAATGGGGCGAGCTAATGGGAGCTTTCCTTGGCGAGCTGAATGGAGTTTTTATAGGCGAGCTGAGGAAAGACTTTATAGGCGAGCTGTAGGGAGTCTTTTTAGACGAGCTGTAGAAAGACTTATAGACGAGCTGTAGGGAGATTTATAGACGAGCTGTAGGGAGTCTTTATAGACAAGCTGAAGGGAGTCTTCCCTTTAAAGTTATTCTGAACCAGAACTCGCAGCGAATTTTTTTTCGCATTTTCACTTTCCTTTTTTCTAAATCAAGTTCAACAGCGAAGAAATCCGCTTTGGGGAAAAATTAGTTATTCTGAATTACAGAAAGTGGGAGAATGTGATGAAATTTTGTGCGAAATTTTTCGCTAATAAATTTAAAGGGAGCTGCGTACAAAAATATAAGTATTTAAAATATTTTTATGCAAAATATCTACACAATACTTATTCTATGACGATTTTGAATATTATAAATGATTGTATGCATATTTTCAACTCGAAAACAACAAATAAAATGCCATTGGAAATCCTATTTATAACGATGAATGTTCAACCAAATATTGCCACGGAATGTATAAAGGTAATAAGGAATATTTAAGCCGAGTTTGATAAAATTTGGAGGCGAAATAAAGATATTTTGTGTGAAGATCTGTCTCTCCAGAAAAAAATATTAAAAATTATGGAAAGAACACAGAACAAGTTTACCTGATGAGCCGCTTAACAGTGTAAAACTCAAATTAAAATTACAAAAGAACAATAATAAAGTTAAAAAAGTATTTATTTCTTTCAAATTTATCGTGCGCATGATTTAAAGGAAAAAAATAAAGCGAGAAGAGCAGATCATAAAACAATTGGCCACTTTAAGAATTTGTGGAGATAAAATATCGAAATTAAATAAAAAAACACAAAATTATGTAGTGAAATAAGAAACTACAAATGAATTTAATTTGATAGCAGATTTCTACTCATTCGTTGTGTCATTGTTAAATTTTAGCCATTATAAAAGAAATGTTCATTTATTTGTAGTCCGTTATAGTTGTTGCACCAAATTGTTTTTTTTATTAATTTCTATAAAATATTTATTCCTGTTAATCGAAACTATTTACAAAAGATTTCATTATTATTATTTTGACTTATGGAACATAATTTAATATTAGAAAAAGAATAATAGTATATAAATAACAACAAATTACACAATTGAGCACTGGAAGAATCTTAGAGTATACAATTTTATCTATTTTATTCCACATCAAATCTGGCATAGCCTTTAAAACGTAAGGATGATGTCTGGCTTTTAGTTGGCTGTACAAATCGTAAACTACTCGAGGCCAGTGAACCGGTGGCGGCAGAATTCGGCACTACAGCTGGGCGGGCAATTGTAAACGTGTCTTCCAAACTGACGGTATTAGCACGATTTGTACTCTGTAATGAAGTTAAAAAAAGATTGGAAATTGTAAAAAGGAAAGCAGTGGAAATTTGTGTTATGCATATATGTATATGTAATGAAATGAAAACTATTTCAATAATTTCTCAATGGTCCAATAAAATATTAGTTCAAAACAAAGCTATGAAATGAAATAAAAATCTATGAAATTAAATTGGTTGTTCGGTTATTTAATTTTTTCCATATAGTCCCTTGGATCTTTTTTAATCAGAAATCCCAAATAGACCAACAATTATCATATAATAACATTTTTGATACACACATATATCTCAACACATGTTAACTATTATTTATATTTACCTATAAATACAAACTGCATATAATAAAATAATTATTTGGTAATACATACATTCGTGTAAATATACATATGCACACACAAAAATATACTCACCCATCGTTCCAAATCACAGAATGTTATAGTGTAACTACTAGAATTTATGACTGTATTATTATTAGTTCGGCTTCTACTCAACCTGCTATTAATACTGGCACCTCCACCTCCAACATTTCCTTTTTCACCGGAACTTTTTGTTGAGGTTAGGTTGTTGATGTTGTTATTATTATTGTTGTTTTTACTCTTCGAACTGCTAACACTTGAAGAGGAGGACATTCTTAAATGTAGGCCTCTATTCGTTGAGAAGAGTATGGGTATATTACGTTTTAGGGGCTTTGATGTTGGGGATGACGATGGCGACAATGGCGATGAGGATGTTATTCTAGCTGCCGACGATGTTGATGATGAGGCGACTGGTGCCAATATTTCATATTCATTTTCTACCGGTACAAAAGATCTATTTGTTGTTGCGGTCTCACTGAAAGACACACGATTTGCCAGCCGCAATGCTAATTTCGATTTATTATTTAATGACGTTTCCCGCAGACTATATTCATCGTTGGACATTTTGTTTTTATGGCAATCGGTGAAATTTGCTGATATAAAATGACTGTATTTCCCAGCATTTAGGGGGATCACATTTGGATTTCCGTTAAAAATTTTGTAGCGCTGACACCCTTGTCAAATATATAGATTTTTTAAAGTAATAATTTATTTTTTTAGGAGTTTTTATTAATTTTTTAAGGTCTGCTATGTTTTCGGTTTTTTATTTGCGTTGCTTTCCCAATTGATATATCCTTCTTGGTCTGTCAATTGTCTGGTTGCTATGGACCATTATAGTTTAGTACATATACGTTTTGGAACGTTTTTTTTTTATATTTTTGTTGCTATGGTGATTTTTTAGGGCTCAAAATATTTTATCGTTATTTAACGGCAAGAAAGAAATTTGAATGGAGTGCAAATCGCATGAAGTCCCTTCTATTTTCTTCATTGACAGAGCGCCCAACAATCCTTGACTGGTTACAAAAACATAAACAATATCCGGACATATGATAGAGACAACTCCTTTTCAACCTAACCTATTTCTTGAAAAATATATTTAAACATCTACGCTTATAATTCATTTAGTTCTTGAAAAACTGTTATCAAAACACATTTACTTATATGTTGACCCTATATTTTTTTTTTAATTTAAGCTTACAGCTCAGCTTTGAGATATATTCTTAGAAAATACACCCTTACTCTTGTAGAAATATTTGTACTATTTCAATTTAAAACGATTGTACTAAAACTTAATTATATAACTTTATTTTAAATTCTTCATAATAAAAATATTATTAATATATTTAGTATTTAATATTTTTGTTTTGCATTAAATATTATCCATTCAAGCTGAATTGCTGTTTAGAGAGGCCATTAAAAATTCCATTTTGTTAAGAAAACTTTTGCCTTCGATTTTATCGAAACGTACCTAAAAAACAGTAAAATACAACAATTGTAGTCATTGAAACATTCAAATTATAATAAAAGAAATATATATTATACCTCTTTAAAATGACCACCCAAATTTTCCCAGAATTTTTCCGGTACCAAAGGATTTGGGAAAAAGTCTTGCCGTGGACTCTTTGCAATATACACTTTAACATCCATTTGTGATTGCGTACAACGGATTTGAACAGCAATCATGCGATCACTATTCGGTGAAGCCAAGAGGCATGAACTGGCATTTCCCAGCGGTTCCACTTTACCAATACCCAAATGATTGCTATTCGAAAGTACTTGCCAGGCCATACAACGGGCTAAATTTAGCAGGCAGGAGATTTGATGTGAATTGATTTGACACAAAATTAAATCACGTAATTCCTGTGGTTCATATGACAAATGCATTACCCGGCCATCTCGGCAAATGGCCTTCAATGATCTTTCGCGAACGTGTATAACCAGGGAGGTACGATTTATTGTATCATAACTAAAAGATTATAAAATATATAGGAATTATTAAAGTACAATTGAATTTATTCTAATTCCGAATACCCACCCATGTGTAACAATATTAATTTTCACACAAGACATTGTTGGACTGGTCATGGCATTCCAATGCGATACTATCTGGGGATCTTTCACGTCCCTTGCCAAGGTGTCTAAAACATATTGGGTACGTTTACGCATGAATATGTGTTGAGCCTGAGCAATAATTTGCTCCAATATTGTTTGGGTTTTTGTCATCTCAACCAGACTTTGGCGATCCGCTGCCATTGGTCCAGCCAACATACGTTTTTTACTCGGTCCCAGTGGACCACTAGCCGGGTGAGGGAATGGATGATGTGAGTTCTTGTGATGAACTTCACGCAAAAGCTGATGCAGTGAGTGTTCCAAAACATGATCGTGATCATGATCATTAACCGGGGTTGGCTGATTACTGTCCACCGTTGTGGAATGACACAATGAGATAATTAATTGAATGCCGGGTAGTAGTGTAGCTCTTATTTGATTGCCAATAACGACATGTGGTATGGGGGCCTGTAGTTGTATGGCCTCTCGGGCCAATTGACTGAACAACTCCTTGCAAAATAATACATTTTGAGCATCTTCTATGGTCTTTTGCCAAACACCTCCCTGCTGTGTAATATTTGGTCCATGGCCCATCAAATTCACTGTGGCCGTACACAGATCTTCCTGGTCCTTTTGTGTTATCACTTTGAAATAGGCAACACCTTGCAGTTCGGCCGGAACAATAACCCTCAATGATGAGTTGTTTTTGGGTGATGGATTTGGTAGGCCGTTGTTAGTGTTCGTTGAGGAAGACGATGTTGATGATGAAGCTGCATCATCCTCTACAATATCCTCAGCTTTTGTTACCTCAAATGTTCCACTCATACCATATTTGGAGCCAGCAGTTCGATAGCTTAAATCACCAATAATTGCATTGGAAACTTTCTTTAGTCTCCAGTTCTGCCGTAGACGCAACAACTCAATGTGGAAATCGGACACATTACGATTGCGTTGTTCTGTATGGGTATTTTTCAAACGTTCTGCACCGCTAAGCAAAATTTGTGCAGCTTGATTAAGAGCCTTTTTACGACTATATACCTGAACAATTGGTTTAGTTTCATCACCATCTGGATCGGGAACCGGATCCAATACCAAATAGCGTTTATCCTTTGCAATGGCCAGCACATCCGATAGGACGCATACCTCTGTCAAGGCATCGTTTAGTTTATTTCGCACAGAATCCCAAGGCCATAAACTCGGTTGAAATTGGTCATCTTTGTCTGCCTCATCGCCGGAAGCTTTTTCCTCCTTCTTTAGATCTTCCAGCGACGTTTTACTGAAGTCAATACGTGCTGCACATTTTGTTAGTGTTTCGGAAAGGGTTGGTGGCCTGTCAATAAATCAAAATAATCACAAATCGATGGTATTGTTCTGTTGGCAACTTACGTCTCATAAATTTCTGTACCATCGTAAGCAATTTCCTGAATTTTACTTTCACATGTTGTCTCGACACTTACATTTACACCATTTGTAAAATTCATGGTGAATGAGATTTATTTTCCCATCCAATTTCTGAAGGAAACCCAATTTTTTGCAAACTTTTCACGAAAAAAAGAAAATTATTCTCCGCTAGCTTCAGCCGGCCAAACAATACAGAAAGTCAGTGCCTTTTAAATTATTTTAAAAGCCGCAAAACCTATTACGGCACTGGATACGACTAGTTGTTATCATTATCAAGTGAATATTTGCTTAGAGTGGTTTTATATTTATCGGGATCGGTGTTGAGAGTTTCTCTCCCTTGAGAGAGTAATTAGAGTTGCGCTATTTTTAAATTTTGTAACAAGCCTACTTTTTGTACGAATTGAAATAAACGTACCAAAACAAAAATTAGATTTTTTTTATTATTCGTGAATACATTTACGCTTAAATTATGACATATAACGTACCAAATTTATACTATTTATGCAAATAACTGATATAAATATTGGCCAATATTTCTCGATAATTATGATTTATTATCATTTGAAGTAGAATTTTAGGTACATTTTCGTAATTTTTTGTTCCTACCTGTGGTAAAGTTCTCCAACACAATTCACAATATACCACTGAGAGAGAGAAACTCTCAACACCGATCCCTATCCCGATAAATATAAAACCACGCTTAGTGAATAGCCACGCCGTTGACCATTATTGCTAAGCCTTGAACTCTTTTTGACAGCTCGACTGTCATATGTATGTTTGTAAAAACGTTTTCATTGTTTGTGACCAAAGTAAATATCTTCTACGAAATTCTTAGCTAATTTCTACCAAACAACTCAATCATTTCTTTGTGTTTTATCTTCAACTCGATATGGGAACTAAAAGGAAAAACATTGAAGATGAATTGTCACGGTTTGAGGCAGAAATATCTAAGCCTGCTGCAGCTTCAACAACACTTTTCGTACCCAATCAAGTGAGACCCATTATTTCCGCCAATACCTACAGTTTGATGCAGCAGAAAATTCAACAACATCCCTCAACAGCTGTTCCTATTGCAGCACCGGCGGTGGCAGCAGCTCCCAGAATAACAGTACCTGCACCACCTATACCGCCACCAGCATTTATGCCCACATTTGTTCCTACACAAATAACTAAGTCAGCCCCTGTTGTCACAACACCGACTCCCGTAGTCTTAAGTAGTGCTCCCAAGCTATATGTAAGTCGACAGTCGGTAAATGTACCCTCGGTACCGGTAGCTGCTCCCATCGACATAAATGCCATACAATTTGATGTAACTCAAAAACTGAAGAAATTGAAGGCGGAAAAATCAGGGCCAAATCCCATTGCTGAAGAGGCCATTAAAGCAGCCAAAGCCTCATCGGCTCTACAATCTTTCCAGGTTACCGAGAAAAAGAAAAAAGATCGCAAAACGGTACGTGTTGCTGGCGGACAAGTTTGGGAGGATCAATCTCTTGCCGATTGGCCTGATGATGATTTTCGTATATTTTGTGGTGATTTGGGTAATGATGTCAACGACGAAGTACTCACAAGGACCTTCAATAAATATCCTTCATTTCAACGGGCCCGGGTGGTACGCGACAAACGTACGGGAAAAAGCAAAGGATTTGGTTTTGTGAGTTTCCGCGAACCTCAAGATTTTATACGAGCCATGAAAGAAATGGATGGCCGTTATGTTGGCAGTCGTCCAATTAAATTGCGTAAAAGTACGTGGAAGCAACGTAGCTTGGATGTGGTGAAGAAAAAGGAAAAAGAGAAACAACTTTTGCTGCAGGCCATGATGAATGCTTGAGGAGGATAAACATCATCCTATGAAGCGACAAACCTGCTTATTGAATGAAACTCAAAAAGTAGATAATTTAGTTTAGGCCACATTTTCGGCATTGATTTTGAATAAAAAGGAAAATAATAATTTTAGGATTAAACAACCAGAATAAAATTTATTTTGATACAAAAAATTTATTTTAATTGTGCGATTATTTTAGATTTTCTTTTTACCACTACACTGTTAACACACTCTGCTACAAAATTGATACGAAATTTTGTGTGTCCTCAGAAATAATTTAAAAAAAATCTAAGCCATCAATATAACAAATTCCTTTGGCGTGACCTCATAAACATTCAAAAAATACAAATTTTTTATATGGTTAAAAAAAATTAATAACCCCCTCGACAATAGAATATTTTTTTTAATATCACATCCTAATAAATATTTTTAGAAATTGTAGCACCTTGGAAATAGGCTCAGAAATATTAAAATAAAATCCATGCCTTCTGTTTGGTTTCAAAAATGTATAAAAAAATATTAAACAAAGGTTTTACTAATTGTCTGTTCCCGTACTACGAGAATCTACTATTTTTTACTACGATAACACTTTTTTCCTTTATGCTATCGAAAATAATAGTAAAAACTCGTAGATTCTTGCAGTTCGGGAACATAATGTAAAATACACTCAATGTAATCTTTAAGTGATGAGAGTAGCCAACATCAGCGTTGCCAATACATAAACATACACTCAATGTAATCTTTAAGTGATGAGCTTATTTCACAACGCATTATTCACGACGTTTTATTTAAATACACTCAATAGATAATGCATTTCAGCGTTGCCAATACATAAACATGGCAACTACATCAAAAGCGGCGGCGTTGCAAACAAGTCCATATCTTTCAATACAAAAAGTCGATTAATCGATTAGTCGAAAGTCGACTTACTTATCCCTAATTATAATTTGCCTAATTTGCCTAAACCTCATTCGTAAACAACACGGTTTCCATTTTGAGTTCATCTTTATCGGCCATTTTGTCTTCTCCTCCCATTCGTTAGCAGGTGGAACGTTTTTCAATTTTTTCAGTCGTCGTTTTTATTATTTTACTAATTTTACAAGTTTTGCAACTTTTTACTCGAAAACCGTTCCTGAACCCATAAAACTGGTAAAGCATTGAATCAAATTTAAGAGAGCACAAAACAAAATGGCTTTCTCTTTGTAAACTTTTTGTTATACTGATTTTGAAGTATTGCCATCTAATTTTGGCATATTTACTAGATTTGCGTTCCCGAACTTTTCAAATTATTTTGTACTCTGAGACTTGAAATGTTTCCCTTTTACTAGCTTTACTATTAAACAAGTGAAAAAGCGTTAAGTTCGGCCGGGCCGAACTTTGGATACCCTCCACCACAGGTATACTGACAGGTATTTGAAATGAAAAAGTGGACCGATATTTATAATTTTAAATAGAGATATTTGGTACCCAATATGAACCCACTGTACCAAATTTCAGCGAATTCGGTTGAAAATCGCGCTTAAGAACCTCAAAATACCGAAAAGTTGGGGTGCCCTTATATGGGGGCTACCAGAAAAAGTGGGCCGATATTTATAATTTTTAGTAGAGATATTTGGTACGCAATATGAACCCAATGTACAAAATTGCAGCGAACTCGGTTGAAAAGCGCGCTCAAGAACCCCAAAATACCGAAATTGGGGGGTACCCTTATATGGGGGATATCCGAAAAAATTGACCTATATTTAAATTTTTTTGTGGAGAGATTTGGTACCTGCTAAGAACTCAAAATACTAAATTACAGCCAATTCGGTGAAAAATACGATAAAAACCCAAAAAATACTGAAAATTAGGAGGTACCGTTATATGGGGGCTACAAGAAAAAGTGGACCTATATTTATAATTTTTTGTGGATACATTCACTACAAATTCGCTTGAAAAACGCGCTCAAGAACCCCAAAATACCGAAAATTGGGGGGTACCCTTATATGGGAGCTATGCCTAAATGTGGACCGATATATCCCATCTTCGAACTTGACCTGCCTGCAGACAAAAGACAACCCTATGCAAAATTTCAGCACCCTATCTCAATTCCTTCAAAAGATAGCGTGATTACAACAGACGGACGGACATGTCTAGATCGTCTTAGAATTTTACCCTGATCAAGAATATATATACTTTATAGGGTCGGAAATGAATATTTCGATGAGTTACAAACGGAATGACAAAATTAATATACCCTCCATACTATGGTGGAGGGTATAAAAAGTACTGGAACAGACCATTTGTTGGCGAAGGTTTGCGTACGACGTCGCTTGAGTCTTGGCAGAACGACGATTAACAAGCGAATTTTATGAAGGCTGGAGTCTTGGAGGCTTCCCACTGTTCTTTTGAATCTCTCTTTCTCTCTTTTATTATTTTTTTTTTTCGTTTTTCCATATATAGTTCCTTTGCTCCATATAGTTCCTTTGCTCTTTATAGTTCCTATGCTCCAAATAGTTCCTTTGCTCCATATAGTTCCTTTGCTCCATACAGTTCCTTTGCTTCAAATAGTTCAAAAAAGGAACTGGATCAGAGAAAGGAATTATATTAATTAAAGAACTGGAACTAGTTCCGTTCGTTCCTTTCTCGGAATAGTTCCAATGAACTAGTTCGTTCCGAAACTACCCAACTCTACAATAAACGTTTATCATCACTGAGCTTATATTTCACAACGCATTACATGTTCGCAGTTTTCTGGATATAATTGATATATTTGCGATTTAGAAAGGTTAAAAAATTATAAAATTAAATAAAGGTAAAGTAATAAAAAGAAATTGCAGAAAATTTCACGAAGTTACTACTGTTATTGCATCTGTTTGTCCTAATTTCACACAAAAAAAACCTCCACCAACATGGAAGCTTTTAATGGCAACTGTATCTTGGCACGACACGAAAATGATTATTCATCATGTTCTGACGACGTGGATGAACTTTCGCCATATGGATTAGAAAAATACGCAGTAGTTTCACCATTTTCAGTATCTTCTGATGAGAGAAGCAAGGTTACGGCAACAAGAAAACGCAATGGAGAAGAAAGAATGCCAACGCGACGTCCAGATCCCAAGGTGTATAATAGGAATGCACTATTGGCCAGAGAAAATCGTCGCAAGAAAAAAATTTACTTGGAGTCACTGGAGAGGGAAGTAGAAGAGGCACGTATTGCCAATCGGAATTTGGTAAAGGCATTAAAACGTCAAATGTCCATATCGAAACAATTGGAGCAGAGGACAAAATACTACCAGAATATAATAGCCAATCAAGCAGAAATATCAAGTTTACTTTCAATATTGGAAAATAAGAAATTATCGAAGCAAACTGCTGGTGGTTATCAAGATCAAAACAGCAATTGTAGCTATGGAGATTCAGCAGCAACAGATTTGGAACTTGATAACAATGGTACGGGTACAGACAGCAACATGAGCAACATGAATGATTTACATGACTTTTCATCGTCCGATTTTTTTAATTTCTCCAACTTTCAATTAGATATGAATGATTGTCGCTCTACATTGGATGATATCCTGTGGAATATTAATTGTGATACATCAAGTGAGGCAACCCTTAGTTCTTCAGAAACATGCAATGTTTTTGATGAACACCCCTATGCAACTACATCGTCATCATCCTCGTCGGAGACCCAATCATCACCAGATTTCACAGCCACCTACAACGATTTCAATTGGAACGATGATGTCGGGTTCCTTGCACCCACATCTGCTGGAAGCTGTTTGCACATAAATCGGGGTAAGGATTGTACAGATGAATTCTGTATAATATGTAATTGTAATATGCCAAGTCAAAGTCCACCCCTACAACTTTTCAACGATGAACTATTGTCATAAAAATTATATTGTTAGTTTTTCTTATTATTTTTTGTTATGTTTTTCATACATATAATTATTTAATTAATTATTAAGGTTAGGTTTACAAAACAAAATTAGAAATAAGTTCAATTCCAATTAATGATATTAAATTTTAAACTTATAATGAAACAAAAACAAAATAAGAACCAAAGTAGGAGCACTAATTAGAGTAGACTACATTTTTGTATGCGTGTTCAAGCAAACGGTATTAAACATTATTTTCGCCATTTCAGGGCAAATGCACCTTCTTGGATGCGCCTACTGAGACAACCCGGCTATAGTGCTGATCAGCTTGTCACACAACAAGTTGCATCGGTCAATTAAGGTGGGTTCAACTAAAGACTCAACACACACCACTAAGAGAACTTTGTAATTTCGATATTTGTATTGAATCTTTTTGCAGCAAGGAGGGAAGAGAAATACCCAAACACAAACTGGATGCCGTGCAATTGTTATAACAACTTGGCGAAAAAGTAGCATGGTCCAGTCACAGGTCTATGGAAAACAATGACTGGCAAAATGTATCAATTACAGTGGTTGGCTACGTGATGGCTAATAGTGGATTTTCAAATACAATTTTTATGATAAAAATTCTAAGTCGTTATTGAAACTTATAACGTTTAAAGAACGTTGTTAAATGTTGATTATATTTATTATGATTGTAATTTGAAGCAACCCGGTCTATTAAAGCTAAATTACTAAGACGAAGAAATTACAAAAATTGCTGATAATCGCGAAATTAATAACTCAGATGCCCCCGCTATTGATCGACATTGTATTGAAAGTCATATTAGCCACAAACTGTTTACATAAAACCAGCCACTTGTTTCGGCCATATTTTCCACACAAAAAAAAAATTTTTACTAATTTCGCATCTCCTTTTTCTAATTAAAGTAAAGGAGTCCTATTTTAGGAAAGAAAAATTTCACCGTCTATATAATAAATTGTAAGTATAACGAGAGGGTTAATAAAACAAGCACAAAAGGTATGTTACTCTAAATATTGCTCCTACTTTTTTCATTTATATATACATACAAGAATATTTTTGTACTACACTGAATTATTATATATATATATATATAGAAATTAAAATAATAATTAAAA